TTTTTGGATATTTTTGATCTGATCTTCTGTATAAGATCAGGGGAACCTAGAGAAGAAAAGGGTACCTTCAGATATCCTCTTTTTTTGAATTTATTCGTTACCCAGATTGTTTAAAGTCTTCAAAAGATGCAGCAAGATCAGCGCAAGAAGGTTTCACTCTTTCTTTATCTTCCCCTTTGAAATTCTTTAATAAAAAGGAGATCTTGATTTAGATTTGTTATTTCTAGCTTTTAAGATTTGACTGTATCTAGTAAAGTACCCAAATTTGCCTTAAAAGACTAGTCATTACAGCCAAAATTGATTGATTGAGTCATCTACGATGATTATGTAACTGTTTGTTTATTTCAGGAAGCATGAAGTTGTTGACTAATTTTAGCTGCTAATTGAGGACTGAGTTATTTGATTATCAGTCATCTTCTAACCATATGAAGTTGTTGACTAATTTAGGCTGCTTTTTATTTAGAATATGTTATTTAGCAGAGTTGGAGAATTTGCATATGAAGGACTAAGTTATTTGATTTATCAGAAATTTTAGTAATCTCTTAACCATATGAAGTTGTTGACTAATTTAAGCTGCTATGTAAAGTATTTAGAAATGTAGGTAGGTAACTCATTAAACAGAGATGGATTAATTGCATATGGAGGACTAAGTTATTTTAGTAATCTTTAAGCATATTGCAAATTAACATACTTGTGAAAATGCCCTTGTGGGATAAATTGTTTTGTCTTTTTTGTGGGGCAGCATTCTATTTACTTTCCTTTCATAGTTTTGAAGTGTTCTTTATTTTCCTATGCTTTTCTTCCTTTACTGGATTCTGGACTTCTACTTCATGCGAGAACTTCTGTGTTAGTTTGAAATGTAATCTGACGTTGTAGTCCTTGGCTTGGGCCTCGTTTGACTCTGAAATAGTGTTTCGTAATTGTCTAGTCTGATTTTCAAATTGGAATGTATTGTCTATTCAAGTCATAAATTGATCCTTGATTCTCTTTATGTTACAACAGAAGTCTACTGATCTGAATATTATTGAAATTTCATCGACATATGCTTTGAGAATATCAAGCAACATGCAGATTTTTATCTTATATTTAGTTTGCCTATTAGTCAGTAGACTATGGTAAACATGTCTGATTTTTTGTTACTGATTGTACAGAGTTCCAAAGAAGTGGAGTTCTTCACCGAGTACGGTGATGCTAATAGGTATAAAATTTTGGAAGTTATAGGCAAGGGAAGTTATGGAGTAGTTTGTGCTGCAATTGACACTCATACAGGAGAGAAAGTGGCTATAAAGAAAATAACTGATATTTTTGAGCACATCTCTGATGCAATTCGAATTCTGCGTGAAGTCAAATTGCTTAGACTTCTAAGGCATCCTGATATTGTTGAAATTAAGCGAATCATCTTACCACCTTCAAGACGAGAGTTCAGAGATATTTATGTTGTTTTTGAGCTTATGGAGTCTGATCTTCACCATGTTATTAAGGCCAATGATGACTTGACACATGAGCACCACCGTTTTTTCTTGTATCAGATGCTGCGTGCAATGAAGTTCATGCACACAGGTAAAAGTCTTGTGAATTCGGTAACTAGTTTTATGACATCTGCCATCTACATCTCCTAAATATGTTGAGTTTCAGCCCTGTTTTGACTGACATATATGTATATGTTCATTCAGCTAATGTCTACCATCGAGATCTTAAGCCAAAAAATATATTGGCAAATGCAAATTGTAAACTCAAAATATGTGATTTTGGATTGGCAAGGGTTGCATTTAGTGATACACCAACCACAATATTCTGGACGGTAAGCTTTCGTGTTAGCTCTATCCCAAAAGCCACCTATAAGATTCACTTGGATTTAGTTTAAATCGTAGAGAACTTTATAAATTGGACATTTTTCATTCATTTTAATCTTTGATTTGACTGAAAATTTCTTATTTTTTTTTCATCTTCACGTCATGCAGGATTATGTTGCTACAAGGTGGTACCGTGCACCAGAACTATGTGGGTCTTTCTTCTCTAAGGTAATTTATGTGAATAGTGCAGCTTATTCTAACTTTCATGTAAAAGATACTTTTTGTTCTGAACCTTATCTATGAGTTCCATTCTAGAACTTCATGTTAGTGGTTCTTCTAATAGATCAAAATACTTTTTTGTCAAAAAGATATGTCAAACTACTTATAAATTTTCCCAGCACCCTCCCTCCGGGAGCTGTACCAAAAAAAAAGGAAAAGAAAAAACCAACTCTGTTGCAAAGGGTGTTGTTGTAAATGAGTAGGTATCAGACACAATCGTGTTTATGTTCCATTTATCTCTTAAACTAATGCAGAGTCACACATGTATAGTCATCTGTTAGTTAGCCACTTTCTTGCTAGCCCATGCTTAGTCACAGAACATATTCACGTCTATTTTTGCTGGATTCAGTTGTTAAGATGCTGTTTTTGGCATCATATAATAGCCTCCCTTTTCCCATGCTTTAGAAAGGTGAAAAGGTACTTGTATACTGTATACATAGTGTTAAAAGGAAGGGCTTTCTGGTAGAATAGAAGATTTTTGTTCAGTTCTGAGTGTATTAAATAGTGATGTGTAGGTTAAAATCATTCTTGTTCAGGGAGGACTATTGAACTCTCCTGGAAGTTGATTTTTCTATTCTTCAGGTAACTGTGTTAGGTCTTGCGTCAATTTCTCAGTAAGGCCTTACTGAGGTTTTTGCTGATTTGTCTTCTAATTCGTGTAAGAATTCCCTGCAGTATACACCTGCTATTGATATCTGGAGCATCGGGTGCATTTTTGCGGAGGTTTTGACGGGGAAACCATTATTTCCGGGCAAAAGTGTTGTTCACCAGTTGGATTTGATTACTGATCTTCTGGGGACGCCATCAGTTGATATTGTATCTGGGGTAAGAGCTGTCAGTTGGGAGTAATATTTTTTTGTTGATGTTAGCATTGCCTGACAGCATGTTGATAGAAGAGTACTCCTCTTGAGTGCAGGTTCGTAATGAAAAGGCAAGGAAGTACTTGACAGATATGAAGAAAAAAAGCCCAGTTCCTTTTACTGAGAAATTTCGAAAAGCAGATCCTTTGGCACTTCGACTGTTGCAGAGGTTGTTAGCATTTGATCCAAAGGATCGCCCAACTGCTGAAGAGGTACACTCCCTCATATATTCCTGATGTTAAGATTACGTGAATGGCATATCCACGGCATATCCACGTGCTTGTCTCTTTCTAATTTCATTTTCATTTTGTGTGTTTTTCCTCCTATCTTTTAGGCTTTGGCTGATCCGTACTTCAAGGGACTGGCCAAGATTGAGAGGGAACCTTCTAGTCAACCAATCTCGAAGCTGGAGTTTGAGTTTGAGCGACGAAGGGTCACAAAGGATGACATTCGTGAACTAATATTTAGGGAGATACTTGAGTATCATCCTCAACTTCTGAAGGACTACATGGCTGGAAATAGTGGTGCAAATTTTATCTATCCTAGGTTGTAATATACTTCTCTACTATTTCTAGTCTCTATTTTCTTGTACCACTATATCTAATCTAAATTACTGACTGATGGTGTGACAATCATTGAATTGCAGTGCCATTGGTAATTTCAGAAGGCAATTTGCTTATCTAGAGGAGAATAGTGGTAAAAGTGGCCCAGTAATACCTCCTGGTCGAAAGCACGTCTCTCTCCCGCGGTATGATTCCATGAGTTGTTTGTCTTGTTGGTTGTGTCAATGAATATGTCCTGTTCCATTTCTTTTATGCTTCTCTTCACTGTATCTTCCCAAAAAAGAAGTTTTTGTTTGTTCTTGTATTTGCTGGAAAAGTAACCTGCCTGAAAAGAAGTTGTACTTGCATACTACTGAGGAAGTTTGGATTTGGAATATTAACTTGTTCATCACATTGGAAAAACTGTTACCTTAGAGCATGCCCCTTTCCCCCTTTTCCTTTTTGCTCTCTCCTTTCCTTTTTCAGTGTGCTTATTTGGGGCTTCATTACATATATTCTTAAATGTGTTGCAGATCTACTGTAAATTCCAGTACCATCCCCCCCAGAACACAGCAGAATCCTATGTTTGATCATAGACAAGTAACAGAAAAGGCAACTGCTGGCGTCAGAGTCTCAGACCCGAAGGTTTTGCGACCACCACCTCGAGTACCCACAGGTAAGGTTGACATTGTCTGTGCTGGCACTCATAGTGATAATGTACCTTTTTGTCCACATCTTCATAGTGAACTCACATATTTCACCACATGTAATAATACATTGGATGAACTGGAACTCAGTACTCGGCTCACAAGAAGTCAATTTAGGGAATCTTCTCAAGTTATATCCCCTGCTTGTGGAAGAGATTGGGGGGGGGGGGGACAAATAAGGATGAGGAGAGATCATATTTAAAGGTGCCCTAGTGAGTATATACGGAATGCTGAAACTTAGGAAGTTTCTTGTGCTTGTTGGAATCGCTTTTAATGTCCTTGTCAAATATTACTTAGTGGGTTGTGCATGTCTGCTTGTTTGATTCTTCTTTGATATTCATTTCTATCATTTTCAGCCAAACCTGGAAGAGTTTTAGGACCAGTATATGATGGTGACAGAAGCATCAAAGAAGTCACTGATGGAAGAGTATATGCCCAGAACTCTGTCGTCCAACCTCATGGCATGTCTCCACAATATCTGTTCAGGAGTAACTCTACACATCTAGAGAAGTGTGGGACAGAAGCAGAGAAGGACCGCTCTCAAGTTAAACAGCAACATGGCCAGTGCATGGTTGCCAAGTCGTCCGCTAGTATGAGTTTTGAGATGAACACTAACCCATATTACCATACACAGGCAAGGGTAGCACAGTTGGGAGGTCAAATCGCCATGGATGCAAAATTACTACAGGCACAAACACAGTTTGGTGCAGTCGGTGCTGCAGCTGTCGCTGTTGCTGCTCACAGAGAGGTCGGCACCGTTCAGTATGGTCTATAACCTAGTCGATACTATTGTTTGATGGTTCTTTGAATCAAGTGAGGACATCCACCTTGCAGTGAGACAGTTCACGATATGCATTTTCCCTCAAATCAATCAGCATGGGAGATTTGAAGAGGGATCTGTTAACCCGGTTAATGATTTTACCATTTATTAGTTGTCAGGGTCTCTAAATAGGTATTCTTTAGGTTCAGGTTGCCCTGTTGAGTTAGTATTTATGCCCCCTTGTACATATATATATATATAGGCGCGATGCATTAATTGATATAATGAAGAAAAAATATTGTTCTTCCCATTTTTTTAACTCTAAGAGAACTCATTTGAAACAATGAATCATCAAAAGAGGTAATATAATTTGAAACAATGATGAGGTAATATAATTATAAATAAGGAAAAAATTGTATATAATAGCAAATTAAGAAATTAAATTAAGTATTATAATTACACTTTGATTTAATTGTACCCCGTAGCAAGCTATTTGTCAGTCACCTCTCTGTTTTTCGCGCCATCTCTTGCTCCCTCACTTTTATACAAACATAAGTGTATAAAATGCGTTTATGTTTGTATAAAGCGAGAAATATACAAAAAGTGAAACAAGCAAAGAGAATAGAAACAAAAACAAAAGAAAAAACACTATTCTTAACAAAAAGTGAAACTAGCAAAAGAAAAATAAAACTATTCATCAGTCACAATGATATCAAAGTCGCTAACAGTCCATTCAGCAAGTTCATTACTGCTAACATATATCTCAGTTCCCAAATCAATAGATGGCCAATGCCTCTCAGCTGGTTTAGTAAATGGATCCTGCAATATCACCCAAGAAACAACGTTACGATTCATCTAGGGGTTAATGCATTCTTATTTTTCAGGTGCGTTAGTTATCTTTTAGGCAATCTAATAGTGTGTGGAGAAGTTAAACGCGTCAAGATATAGTCAAGTTACCTGATAGAAGTACAGTGATTGTGAGAGTCTCCCAACATCAAGTTCCCAAGTTCTTGCATCACCTATCCATCCTTCTCCTTTCTTAGTTGGGTATCCATATTCTCCCCAAACAGGATGAGGAAGAATTTGAAGTATTTCCTGAGCTTGAGGGTTGCTATATTCATCACAGTGATTGAATGGTTCCTCAAGATACATTCCGTTGCCCGGGGAGCAATACATATGATAAGCATCATAGGGAAATCTAGCCTCATCAGTACGATGAACTCGAGTTCCATTTGCAAAAGTATGGTAAACTGGGCACAGCTTCAAATTCTCCTTGGGGTTGCACCCTGATGATACAGCACGAATATCAGGATTGATGATCATTTCACTGTAACGCGTTACGTCTGTGGTGACATCCCCATCACAAGGCTGACCATTGTTCTTCCAGCAGCTACCTATGTCCATTAGATAGAATTGGCTCCTTGGACCACCTCCTTTTATCACATCTAGTGTGAACCTCACTTTGAAATTTGGTGACTTTGGGACCTAAATCCATATCAGCAAACAGAACATCAGATTGTATAACAAGTAAACTACAACTATGACTCAATCTCAATGAAGATACAATAACGACGACTAGGAGGAGGAACTTACTATTTTTGACATGCCTCTTGTTTCATAATGATATCCACCAGAAAATCCTGTAGTTGCATCAGACCTCAAGTAAAGCATCAACCAAGGGTACTTAGATGAAGTCTTCAACACATGATGAAATTTCCAGCTTCCTTTTCCAAGAATCTTATGCCAAGTAACAGAGAAAAATGAAGTATCATTCTGAGTCTTCGCTGTACTCATATCAGCATCCAATTCCCATGTACCATGAAACCCCCCTTTCAACTTAGTCACCTTTGGATGTTTCCTATGACTATGTAATGTGGTATAATCATGGTATATCCTAGGCATATTCATGCAACCTTTTCCAAAACATGGAAATCGCGGTATTTGATCAAAGGGTTGAGATGGTAAGCCATTTCTTGGACAAATTGCTGCTGTTGTGTCCATGTTGCCACTCTTGAGCATGATCATCCAAAAATTCCATGGTTTTGGCTCATCTTGAACTTTGCATTTGTATCCTAAGAACAATTCTTTCCAAGCTGCATACATATCCACATTCAGGGAGTATTGTCCTAAGCTTTTGGCGTCATTTATACTTAGTTTGTTATCAAGCTCATTCACCAAGTGAACCAGCTTTGCTGCAACAACATTATTTTTAGTGTTACTGATAAAAATTTTCAACAGACAGCAAAAGAAAAGAGGTTAATATACTTTTTGACAGTACAGTAAGTTCAATGCTAAGAATCCTAAAAGTCGAATCCATTAAATTAAATCTAGAATCCGCCTCTATCACAATTTTAACTCGAAACCTTTAATCAAGTAACAATAACGGTATATTAATCTCTCTACAACAATATACATCACAAATTTCTGCAAAAAAACACTATTCTATGCCTTACAAAGTCAAAAAATAGTTTTTTAACTAATGATATTAGATTTGAGTTTTGTATATTGACTTACTCCTATTGTTATTTGATTTTTGGAGATCAAAACAATCAGCATGTCTAGGACTTCCCATATTAGGAGCTTCTTCATACACTTCATTACATTGATTCCATGCCTCTATAGCAACTCTTAAATTATCCCTTTTCATACCTGGATCTCCAATAGCTGATTTCGCTTCGAAACTACATGATAATCTAGCAAAAAATATAACTAAAACTACTTGAAAAATCAACCAAAATCTCAAACGCGAAGCCATGTTGTTTTTCAATATTTTCATCATTGTTAAAATAAATAAAAAAATACTAGCCCCATAATATAAGGTTGTTAAAGTGTTTGATTTGAAAAAGAAGTAAATTTGTTAGAGTTCTATCCAAATTGAGATTTCGTAAATATTGTCATATTAATGTTAGTATCCTTTATAGAGTTAAATATCAATCTTTAAAGTACTAGTAATAATAATAATAATAACTGAGAAATTTCGAAGTATGATAAATAAAAAAAAATACAAATTTCAATCATCATAGAATACTATTGCCTATCAACTACTGTAATACAACCTAAAAACTAGGATTCTCTTTTTTGTGTCCGCATTGAAGTTACAACTAAATTCAAATTGCTCACTGTAAAATCCATAACTATCTCAACAGAATTTTCTCCATACTCGAGATTCAAACTCGAAACCTCTTGCTAAATCTATGATTCTCATTCTTCTCTTGGTACAATCTTGAACTTCCCAGTTTTTTGTTGCTGCAATACAAACCCCAAAAATTAAACTTTTTATGACAGTAAAACACAACTAATTTTAAATACGAGATCATATACAGAAGCGGATTCAAAATTTAAATTCTATAGGTTCTAGAATCGGGTTTCAACTACTTAAATACAAATCTACGCTACAATATAACCCAACGAGTTCAACTAAATCTAATATTTTCTAAACCTTTAACTTCAGAAAATAGCGGATTAAAGATTGAATCAATAAAGTTCAAATTTTGAATCCGCCACAAAAAAATTGAAAAAAAGGTAAAAAGATTCAACCTTTTTCCATAGCTCAGTATGGCTACTGCAAAATCCAGCAACAACACCGCCATTTTTACGTCCTTCTGTATACTCAATGCAGAGATCACATTTCAACCCACAAGTAACATGGAAAGATAAAGGGCATTTTGGCTCAGAACAATCAATAGCACATCCTTTTTTGGATTTACAAATGTAACACTTTTTTTCCCATCTTCTTTTAGGAACTTCGCTGAAATCAATTCCTTCACGACCTTCTGAATCGACGAAGAAAACTTCAGGAACAAATAATGAACAAACAACATGAGCCCATTTACCTTCACTCACAGTAGATTTCAATGCGCCTCCGGATTCAGGACAGAGACAACAATTGAAGGATTTTGGGTTTGGGATTTGGGATTTTGAGGCTAAACATTGAGCACAAAACCAATCGCCTTCTGGGATTCCATTTGTGAACGGATGACCGTAACAAGACGTATGAACCATCAAATCACAACCGTCACATAAAACGATTGGATCTGATGGATCTCCGTCTGTGCTATTACAAATAACACAAACAATCCCATCATCTTCATCCACATCGATGTCATCATTTGTTATTTCTTCACCTATTTTTTCTTCCTTGATTTCATCGCCATTAAAACAAACTGGGTTATACTCCTCATTGAGATCAAATGGATGAAAAGCCCAAACACGTTTCTTCGCGGGCAAACAGAGAGTAGTAACAGTGTGGTTATTTGTAAAAGGTGGGGGAGTTTCTGGAGAGAATTTTCGCTTTTTAGCAGGAAGTTTCGATGATGAAACAGACCCATTTTGTTTTTGATCTTGTTGATGCATCATCATGAATCTTTTGGCTGGAGGTAAAACTTGAAGTTTGCCACCCATTAGAAGATTTGTGTGAGAAACTGAGATGTGGAAGAAGAGGGAAAAGAGGAGGATGAAGTAGAGAAAATTTGGAACCAAAAACCCGGGAAGATTAGCAGTTAAATTATTTGAGTTTTTGAAAATTCTGAATTTCTGCCATTGATTTTGAACTTTTGCAGTTTCAGTTTAGCGGGAAGTTTAAAGAGAGTGGCTCCAAACTTTAGAATTTTGCGCCAATTTCTCCGCATTAAAACGACGTGGTTCTCTCCCTCGTTACTTTCACCGTTCTTTAAAAAATAATTAACCAATATTTTTGTGATCTTAAACACGTCACTTAAAGTATTACCAAAAAGTGAGAGGGGAGCTTTTTCAAACATACTAAAAAAAAGAAACTTAATGAATATTTTTCTAACAGAGGGAGAATATTATTCTTGATACGTTAAAAGTAAGAATGTATTTTTAGTATAGAAGACGAATAAAAGTGAACGAAACGAATATTTGACTGAATTATATACGTACCATTTGCTATTCCATCCGTCTACTTTTTTTTGTCATGGTTTCCTTTTATAGGTCAAACGTTATAAACTCTGACTAACATTTCATATGATGTATTTTTTCATCATATTGATATGCAAAAAATTGCAATTGATAGTTTTCTTTATATAATTTTTGAATATTGAAATTTTTTTATTAAATTAATATACTTTTTAAAATTAATCAAATTAACTTTTAAAAAATGCAACGTGATAAATAAAAATGGACAAAAGAAATATGTAATAACTATTATATCTTTTCGATATCTAAGATTGCATTTGAAAAACAAAAAAGAAATAAGATGTATTAATAAATTTGAAAAAGATTAACAATGAGATTTTTCATATTTAACATCTTTCATCCCATTTCAAGTGTTTTATGACAACACTAACGGTTTTTAAAACCATATATAAAATACTAGTACGAATTTTTTTTAGTCAAGTTTTTAAAATACCATACAGTAAGAATTTTTTTGATAATCAAATTTTCACTATTTTTGATTGCCAACAAGGTAGGATAACTAATTTGGAGTAGGACTGAAAAAGGAGCCACAAAATAGCATTACAATTCACAAGGAGATATAAATATGCCCAGAAATTTGTTCAAAAAACAGGTAGTGCTGGAAAATCTACATTGCTGTTAACTGCTACACTTGATAGCACAAGTTGCAAAATAACTGAGATAAATCGATTGCCTTGCCAGACTGAATATAAGTAACCACTTTAGCCGCGGATTCTGCCTGTTGCATACAACAAACAAAACTTTCTTTAGACGATATGCAAAAACAAACAACACTGTTCTCGTGCATATACTAGTTCAAGTTATCTCAAACAACGGTGTAGATCTAAAAAAGCCAAACACAGTAAGGTCTTTACAGCAACCACAAGTCGTAATCATAAGAAGATGATTCACTTACAATCAGTTCACTTTTTTAACAATCTATAAGAATCCATGCAAAAAGAACAATACGAGCAACTCATCCAGCTTGTATTGATTCAAAACAGTGTTAGTTTGCTTACATTACATCCTGTGTTTGCCAAGGATTTCCTAGTTTGTTTTGAGATTTGCATGTCAGTAGGCATAAGTAGGAGATTTTGGGAAACCCCCTGTGTTACAGAATCTCTAATTTTTGTCTTAAAAGATGCATCAGATATAGAGGATTCAAACAACCAACTCAAGCATGTATGGGATAGAAGTTTAGGTGTTATTATTTAAATAGAAGAAGAAGAAAATGACTACTACAACATTTGATGAAACAACTTGGCATTTCGACCAACTTTTTCAAGCTATAATTTTGCAACTGCGAACCTAGTTAGTCTGACTTAATACATTCTTCATAAAAGATACTATTGGTGGAAAGTGTACAAAACAAAATACTTCCTTAAAGTAATCTTCCAGATGGTTTAATGTAAAGATCACTAGTTCGCTAGCTTATAATGAATGATCAATGTGGTGATAAGGAATCCATAATGGTGTTAAGTTATGGTAATTTGTACTAAAAAGTAGAGTAAAAGCAATATTTAAATGGTAGTGGATCATTTTATGGAACAGAGGTATCAAAGAAGGAAGCAAGAATTGACTTTCCCTCATACATGTATCTCTTCCCCACATTTGCTGTCAAACTTTTCCATGAGGAAACCATTATGTGAAGTCCAGGACAACCTAAGTTCACAATACTCATCAATAAAAACATGTTGTCTTAATAAATAGGGCCTAAATATTGCAATATTTCTGTTATTAAATGCTAAAGAGATCCAAAAGAAAATCAAAAAGATAGAGAGAAGAGAAAACTGGTCTTAGAATGTTGCTAAATTACTTTTAAAACAAGCAGTTATCTGATAAAAGTACTCATTTGGATAATGATAAGTAAACACTCACCCAAAAATTTCATGCTTGTGTCGTCGATGAACTCATTTAGACATTGATTATAACCTGGAAATAAAAGAAGATTAGAATATGAATTACAAGGATGGGTCCTAAAAAGTAGCAGATTTCATCATATGAATGAAAGACACCTTTGAAAACCTAAAAAGAGTGCTTTGCCTTCAAACCATGAGACCAAATAAAACAGTGACTTGAACTACAAATTAGGTTTCGCAGAATCAATAAAGCAGTAGAACAGAATAACAAATATCAAGAAGCTCTACTTGAGCAAGAAAAACAATCTCGTAGCAACACAGCTAGATTATCTCCCAAAGTTCAACCCCATACATTCTCCTTCTTTTCAGTTAATTTTTTTTCTTTCCAACTCAATTAGCTTCAGTTTTCTGATGTCTGTCAACATCCTTACCAATAAAGAATGAAAAGAATTCACCCTTGTAGAGCATGTACATTATTCACCCTTGTTTTTGAGATGCGGTGCAGCAATGGGAAAGTTATTGCGGTAAAGTTTCCATCCCAGAGCACTCCATCTGTCCACACATGAGTTCATATGTACATGGTTTCCTGGGCCTGTGCCCTATAGAATATCACATGTACTAACAGGTAAGAGCACTTCAAAATGTTTGCCTTTAAACCCAATTTAAGGTCATACTTCGAACTTCGAAGAGCTCTGGGATAACTTAAAACTCCATCTTGGGTTAAATGAATTATCGTAAATCTCATATTTCCATCCACAAGTGCAAGTTCATACAGAAATTGCAACTCCTCCCAGCAAATATAAGGGAATGAGAACGGATCACAACAAACGCTACTAGAAAGCTACCATATACCACATTTGATTGAAGTTATTTTTGGCACACAATGCATAGCAGAATGTCCCTCTGTACCTATCAACTTTGATACACCAACACGGTACAAGAGAAGTGCTCATCACAAATTTGCAAACAGACTTTGAGCCCCAAATATTTCAATGCCCGTTTAAGTCAAAAGTCATCAAGATTTTATGAGATAAGATGGTAAAAGTAAAAAAGGTAATAAGCTGACAAGATGGTAAAGGTAAAATGGCACATGGAAACTGTCTTATGCGATTGAATTAGCTCTAAGAAAAGTGTCTGCCTTACCAGCTAAACTAATTTACGACATTTAATTACAACACTTGGATATACAGAAAAATCAATATCCTTTTAGCAGAGAGAGGGATTATAATTTGTAATCTTTTAATGTCAAACATATCCTACTAGTTTAGTACCACCCACCCACCCCACCCCACCCCTGTGTAACAGAAAGGTGCCATATACCCAGATTAAGTTTGGAGATTAAAATTTTATACTTGTTTCGTTGAAGGTATAACTGAAATTTATACCTCAAAGATGGTGTTATTTTATCCCACCCGGGGGATAAATTAGTCCCGTGGTTATAGGATAATAATCCTGGGATAACTTTGGATGCGAACAAATAATATGCACAATGTCATACCATACTGAGCATTCAAATCTTCTTTTAATAATGACAAAAAAAAAACGATCATCTAAAAGATTCCCGGAACTTTTTCTCATGAGGAAAACATAATACCTGCGCACTTTTAGGCGTGATAGACAACCAAATCCATAAATGAATCTTTATACTTGATTAAGTGACTTCATTTTTCTTTCACAATGAAAGACGACTTTTCTTTACATTTTTTTAACATCAAGAACAATTAATAGTTCGAGCAGCGGAGAAGCACTTAAGAGAGTAAGGGATTTAGGAAGTAGAGTAAGACAAAATACACACACTGCGAGTCCAGCCAGCAAGATAGTAATGAAGTTGAGGTGAGATTAGATGGAACTGAGGCATCTAATGAAGACGGTTCAGAAATGCAGTTCCAATATTCCAGAAGAGCAATTTGACAGATGTTATGCCTAGCAACTGCACTATAGTAGGAATATCGAAATGGAATACTGCCAAAGTTATGAGATAAGAGAATACCCAGGCAAAGTAAAAATAAAGTTCTATAGAACGACAGTAAGTTCAGACTTAATAACAGAGATCTGAAGACCTTTATTAAGTGCAAACAAATTGAGGCCTTGGTATATTAGAAGAAATAAAGTTACTAGAGTATATCAGGGGACCTCTAATGTTTGAGAATCCTTAAATATGGAGTATTGAAACAACACAACCCCAAATAGAGCATTTATGATGCCGACGATTCATTCAGCCAACCCCAACTAGCTTGAAATTGAGGCGTAGTTGTTGTTGTAAGAACTGTTAGAACATGAATAGATTTGTATATTTATACAATCCTATTACATGAATAAAATTATACAATCCTATTAGAATTAGAGACGAACCCACATGTATAGGTGGGGTGCGCGTGCACCCATTAACTTCGAAAAAAATCATGTATATATAGATATCTATCTCAATAGAAACAGCGAATATAATAAGAGCGCACCCTTAGAGAAACATAAAACTGCTTTAGTACGCTGGTAGAAGCAAGGAAATTCACCCCTAGGTTCAATTCTCGTCAACATCCCATTTTTTACTCTTTTTATTACAAACTTGATGATTATTTATAACATCAAAATTGTCAATAAGGGGATTCACACTCATGACCATCCAATAGCTATAAATGACTAGTCAAATACGACATTATCCATTAACCGTCATTAAAAAATTCGCTATTATCCATTAATCGTTATTGAAAAATTTGCTATTATCCATTAATCGTTATTGAAAAATTCGCTAATGCTAGGCACTTTAAATCCGGGGTTTGGCTCTGATTAGAATATGAAAGTTTATACAATTCTACTAGAATAGGGATAGCTTTATACAATCCTATTTAGAATAGGAATAGGAATAGAAATAAGAATAGTAAATAGTATCCTACTTGTTTAATAACGACGCATCTATTGATTCCAACACGATCGATATACTTCATACTAGATTTTGAGCACTTTGTTGCTCGGGGGATTTTGGTAGCCTTGTGGGTCGATTATGTAAGTCACTCTATGGTAAAAGTAGTTGTCGCAAGTTTGGCTTGGGTTGTTCAACACAGTAATTTTATCATTTATCACTCTGTATTTTATTGGCATTATGCATCAAATTCAGTATCTCATGAAAAGATTAAGCACATTAAGATTGATTGCAAATTTTGTGAAGTCAACTAATCAACTTGCAGATATCTCACCAAGCCCCTCATCGGTCCTCGTATTAATTACATTTGTAACAAGCTAAGTACATGAATTGTATGCACTAGCTTGAGGGGAAGTGTTAGAACAGGTATGGATTTATACAATTCTATTAGAATAGAAATAAGTTTATACGATCCTATTAGAAAGAAATAAATTTTTACAATCCTATTATAATAGGAATTACTTTATACAATCCTATTAGAATAGAAATAGATTTATACAATCTTATTTAGAATAGAAATAGAAATAGTAAATAGTATCCTACTTGGTAAAGGATTGTATTGTAGTGTCTATAAATAGGGTCTGAATTAATAATGTAGACATGACAACAATTCAGTAATATTCTTTTTCAATATTACTCACAAGAACAAAAGTAATTATGTATTTTAAAATGCATTCAGGATCTGACAGAAACTAGACATTCTTTCTCCAGTGGTTTCCCATAATTTACAATCTGATAGTAGATCAACTCTAAGAAAGTTTTAATAGTGCAATGTCATTAAACGAAGTAAATTTCATTTCTTTATAAGTAAATACGAGGCTAAAGGACCACATATCAGAAAATGTAATTACTGATTTTGCAGACAACTATTTAGATTAGATGCAACAGACATTAATAAGAGTCCAGCAGGCAGCTAAAACTTTTCTCACAAAAAGCAAGAAAGTAACAATATTAAACAACAATCTCAGATCATTTAGTATAAAATTTCAAATCTAATTCTAAGATCCATTCTGAAGTACCAGAGAGTAGTAGGCACAACACCGTGTGACAGCCTACATTAACTAGTTTATCTGGGTCCTTGAGCTCGCTGCACATCATAACCACCCCAAGCACCAGGCCCATGTCCATACTGAGAATAACCTTCAGCACCACCCTGCACCTAAAATATAAAAGAACAACTAAAGTTAGACATTAAAATACTAAGGAAAAGAAGTCACATTTCATCTAGATGAAAAAGAGCAAAATACTGCTGTCCTTCTGCTCACTTTGTAATCTCATGAAATGCCAAAACCACAACAGAATTACTTACAGGATGAGCAGGGTTCATAGGATTCATTCCGTAATTAGCAGGATAATAATTCCCTGGATAACCAGATTCAGGATTCCCATAATTTGCATTGTACCCTGCACCTGTGTAGGTAAAGATGAACTTCATGAAACTGGTACAGTACTAACAATCTATGTCCAATAAGTATGAGAAATTTCAAAGCAGCAGCTGCGAAAGATTACATGCGTCTCTTTCTGTCTATATACAAACAAAAAATTAAACAACGCACCAATTGAAGCAATCATATCCAACTGAGCTTGTCAGGGATTTGCACCTCCAATAAACTATTACAAACCCGTTTTTTGTTATTTATTATTTAATAAAAGAGGAGATAAACAGTATTATATAGAGCAAATTCAATACACTTGAAAGAAGCTTGTGAAGGAATCAAACCCAATGGTAAATTTGATAAATTCTACTATCAACTTGAGGTAAATATTATTAGAGAAACTCTGAATTCTGATATGAAGCAATAAATCAAATAGACAACCATGTAACTGCATGAACCATATAGCAGCTTAATACATTAAAACAAAGTCACTATTCAATCATGCTTAACAGTGCTCAATCAAACAAAGACAATTCAGCTGAGAAACACAACAGCAAGGAAAATTTGTCTTTATCAGAAGATGGATCTTTCAATGTGCTTATTCATATCTGCATTTTACAGTTTCTGAACTTGGATAAGGAAAGTACCTGGATTCGCAACAGCTGCTGCTGCTCGGGCTCTTTTTTCTGCATTAGCAACCTCAGCTCGAAGTTTTTCAAGTTCTCGAGCCATAGCTAGCAATTTTTTCTCCATAACCTGACCATATTCATAGTTTTCTGCGTATCCTTTCTTCTCATTCTCAATAGCTGCCCTGTAAACCAAGAGTACAGTAAAAAATTATCAATTTGAAAATGTTCCACGGAGAGCAGAACTCTGGGGAAAAGAATACCTTGCTCGCTGCAGCTCTTGTTTTAGACCTTCACTTTCAGCTTTAATTGCTGGAGCCTGCTGTAAATCTGCAGTCATTCTACTCAAATCCTGTGTCATTCTTTGATACTCAACAGTAAGATCTTGTCTGGCAGCAGTAAACTCCTTAATATCCGAGCGCACTCGCATAAGCTCTGACCTCATACCATCAGCTACTTGGAGATCCATTTCCAACTTAGCAGACTTCTCATAAAGCTCTCTCATTTGCACATCAGTTTCCATACGCAAAGAACGGGCATAATGATCAGTTCGCTGAAGTTCGTATTGAGCAGCTTCTACTTCTTGTTTCAGTGCTACATGAGTAGCAGCTAACCTCTGGTTATCAACTAATAATCCTTGAATCTCATCATGCTGACTAGCCAGGTGTTCCTCAAGAACAGCAGGGTGTGGAGGCATTGGTCTGGAGCCCATTCCAAACTGTGATTCTCTCATTTCTTCAAGCATTGCTGGATGAGGCACCGGCAAGCGACCCCTAGCAAACTGGGGCTCATGCATTGGTGGAGGAAGTCCACCATGAGGACCACCTTTCATAGGAAGTGGAGGCCCGCGATTCCGACCGGCCATCTTCTTTGTTTTATCTTGTCTTGGTTATGAAATGATCAAATATATCTGTTAGAAAAAAAACACCAATTGATATCAGTGACTAATGAAAACTACGATGGATAAGGGAATAAGGGTGTGTTAGTAAATGACTTCCATCCCACCCCAAACCCTTGACCTAAAATCAATTGTGAGGGACAGAGCATCAACATAGCATAAAGGGGAAAAAAACTTCTACCCCTAAGCAATATCAATTTTTTTTTCACAGATGACATCCAAAGCTGTGACCTAGTCGTTTATGAAGTGAGTGAGCACTTCGAAGGTGGAAATGAAAAACAACAAATCAATGGCCGCTTAACCCTAAAGCCACTAAAGCAGTGGAAACTAATAAGGGCCTCAAAATTACAAATCCCTGAAAAACCCTAAACCCCCAAATTCAGTTCAAACGAAACACACAACGATATATGATTATCACGCATAAGAAAAACGAAGCTCAAACACAAACATATATACATCCGAAGACGCCAAATCGCACAGAAAAAGAAATAAATTCTAGTTAGAAGCAAGATAAAACGAAAACAGAGACAGTAAACCCAGAATATGAGGAGATACATACCTAAAAGGAGCTGAACAAATCTGATGAAGGCGATGTTAAACTGTTAATTGTGAAAAGCACCGTATTCAGCCATAGCAGAATGAACGCTGCGCTTCCAAGGACTAAAAATAAAACAAGTATTTATTGTTTGTATTTGTTGGTATTGTGTTTAAAAATAATTCGTGTAATTAATCAAATTTATACTTTACTTTTTTTATATCTTAATTTATTTAACTCGCACTAATTTAAATTAATCATATTTTAAAATTGAACTTGTAAAATTATCTTTTAAAACTTTTTGCAAGATTATCTTTACATGACTTTGTCAACAATCCCTTTTGATACCTTATGAATCGAGCCTATTTCGTAGTGTTTGCCTATATAATTTATATTTCTCTATGTGACTTGTATACTGCTATCATATTAGAAACTGCAAGTTATATTCGATTTTTTTTTAAAAAAAAAAAAGAATTACCAAGAAATGTCTTCTCGCACATTTAAAGCTCAAACAAAGTTAATCATCATATAAATAAATTTTACTACATATTGTTTTAACTTTAAATATATTCTAAAGATAACACCACAAAAAATAGAATAGCAAACGAGTAAAAGATATACTTCAATTGACATACTCCATAAGGTAATCTTAATTTTATTTTTTAACACTTTTAAAATAATTCAATCAAAATTAAGATATTTAAATACTAAAAAAAGTAAACGAACAAATATTTTCAATGTGAACTTGTTATAATTATCTCTTTAGCATAATTTGTCAACTGGAGACTACAAGCAACCCAACCAGCATAATTTGTCCATACAAAATTTAATTAATTATCGATAATTGTCGTAAAATGATTCTTTTTCTATAGTTGCTTCAGAAACAAATATCTTTCAATAACTTTTCGGATATATGTTTCTCATTTGAGTAATTTTATCTTTGAACTTTCAGTCACGAGTAATGTAATTGAGAAAGTTGTGGAATATTTGGCAACAACTGGTCGACCAAAAAGCAAAAACCACTTTCAAGATAATTGCTCGCACAATAATGTTTCAATGTCCACGTTATTTTTTTAGTAAATTTCTCCACTCTTAATCAGATATTTCGGACGGATACAGGAAAAATCCCCAATAGTAACAAACGGCTAATGACAATTATTCAATGTAAAGAAGACCCCACTTCATGGAATTTTGAAGCACCAAACTAAAGTGAACATCACAAAGGCGCCTAGAGATAGCAATAAAACAAACTAACGACTAGTTTTTTTTTTCCTTCCAAATATATGTACATAATTCATTCTCTTAATCATTTCATAATATCAAGTTTTGAGCTTTAATCAAATTTTTTCTGGATATACAACATGGAAGCAATATGGAATTTAGAAGAGAAATGGAAAATATCGACACGAGGAGCGATAGCCTTACTGGTAATTTGCACCTGTTCCTTAGTTATTGGAACCTGCATTATTGCTGCTTTAAGGAGAAATGTAAGAAGGAGAACAGAGGATCAAGAACCGCGTGTTAATGGTTCAAAGGACATAGATTGTTCAGAGCCACCAGCAGAGCAGGGTCCGGTGAAGGAGGTGCTTACCAGTTCTGTGAGGTGGAGCCAGAAAGAGAAGCTTTCTCCATTGCTCGTTAGCGGAGATCTGCAAACTGAAGCTGATTTTGGATGGCAAAATCGCGGTTCAGCTTCACCTGTGTGGAAAAGACCTATACTAATGGGTGAAAAGTGTGAGCTGCCAAAGTTCAGTGGTCTTATACTCTATGATCAGAGAGGTCATGCTACTTCATCAAGTCGATAAATGGATTCAAATACGATCAGGTAAAACATAATACGAGGCAAAAACATCAAGAGAAGCAACATCTAATGATTCCGAAGAATTTCTATTTATATACATAGTTCAGTTTTTACTATACTTTGAAAGCATACGTATAAATAAGTTCAGGATAATTACTTGTAAAATAATGGATGCTGAAGTACACTGTATTTGTTACTGTCATACCTAGGGGCCGATATACTGTAAAAACAGACTTAAAAGTTCTCGTATACTCAATAGCTTTTGTCCAGATCTCGTGTATATATATATATATGTATATATATATCAAGGAATCCACTATCTATAAAAGTTCATATTATACCATCAGTTTCTTTATTTAAACGTAATTCTGCATCTTCAATCTATGATTTGATAAGGAAAAGGAGAACAAGATAAATATAAGCATTAGAATCAATGCAGAAAAATATTCATTGAACAGGTATAGCTGAACGAGTTCAATGACTAGGGAACTGCCATCACCTTGAGCTTGGAATTCTCACCATTTCTCCATGCAATCAAGTGAGATTTTACGATCACCTAGGACAAATAAAGGGAGATGTACAATTAAAAGGTATATTTGTTATTTAACAGCTCGAGAAAGAATGAAAGATATATGTTCACAAAATGCACACGTAACGAGAATTTACCTTTCCTCCTGGGTGTTTTTTCATGCACAAAAGACACTACTTTCTTAGAATTCTAGTTCATGAATAAGATACTATAAGGCCTTCGGCAGAGTCCTCTCTTGAAGAATTTCTGTAATGTGCAAATAAAAGCAATTGTGTAACTCCTAAAAGTGTTCCAATGCCATTTGGTACCTGAAATTTAAGTAGAAATCCTTCGTGAGTCGGGCGAGAGGAACAAAAGAAAAAATTGGAAATTTCCCAAGCGAGAGAAAGAAAACTCACATATATAAAGGGATCAGAACTGAAAATTCCATACAAAAGGAAAGAGGCACTCATTAGGAAGGTGGAGAGGGACAGACAAAACGGCATGAATTCAACACTCCTGGTCCTGATCACCAGATTCTGTAATACAAGTTAGTCAGTGAATCCGCGGAAAAACGTTAGAGAACAAGAACTTGATAGAAAATTCTGAATGTCAACGGTTAGACATACAATAATTAACAGTGGGGAGGCAAACATTGATATCAAGGAAGCACAACTCAGGGAGCCAATGATGATGCGTCGGAGTTCCAGATCAAGTATAAACAAGCTTCCAAGTACAATAATAACAAATAGGCCAAAGACTGTGAGTATCCATCCAAACATCCTGAACTACAAACAACATTGATGGGCATACGGATTAACAGATTACGCTATGAATGAGTGTGAAACTGCTTTATTAATTAAATAATACAACAGAAGAGTATTAACCTTTTTCTCTTTCTCTGTATACGTTACGTAAAGTACAATGTAGGCAAGTTGAAAAACAGCACCAACTGAATTAACTGATGTAACCAACAAATTGTCGGGAGATACGAGAGGGGTGCCATACCAGGCACAAATTAAGCAGTTCAATAGACCATAGATGTACGGCAACCCTGAGAACTGTTCAGTTGATTGATTCCTCATTATTCTCATGAATGTAGGCCTGAAAATAAAGATAAATGATACTGGATTGTGGACAAAGAAGTAATTGGTCAAGGTGAACTTTGTTTTCTACATTATGGAAGTGCGAAAATCAAAATGAAGGATGAAAAGCTTAAGACTCACATTGGAGACAAAAACAATCCAAAAGCAAAGATATTCCCTGCAACAAGGAGCTAAGATGGTTAACGTTTTCCCTCGAGTCGTGATAAAGTCTCAACTATAAGTTTGCAAACCTCATTTAAGAAAAAATTCAAAAATTGTTGGAAAGACAATAGCGAGTAAGCTGAGAAGTAAAGGGTATTATCTCATTTTCCCTCTACAATCTAATTCATTTCACGGCCAGGAATAATATGCCTCCTATATGATTGACCAAAAAGTGCTTTAATTTTAACATGAAAAACACTGCATCAAGAGTTCAATCTAGAAGTAAATTTTAGCTCAAAGAGAGCTACTAAACTTGCTTAGGCCTATCGAACCAACCATTTGCCCACTCTCAATAAAATGTTTATACTTCCATCAGAAGTTAGTTTGGTAAAATACACCCAAAAAATTACTTCTTTACCGTGCGAATCACTATAATTTATGTGTGCAAGTTATACCCACACACACACATATTTTTTACTTGTACTTTTGAAAGTACTTTCGGCAAAAGCTAGTAGTAAATCGGGTTCAAATTTACAGGCTTAAGCTCATATATGGGAAAAGAAATTAAGAGGTTGCTAAACAGTACACAGTACAAGCAATCAATAATATATGAATGCAACGGAAACTACAGGTAGACATTTTTTCATGCCATTCACTAGCACGAGGATGATCAATCCGTTTTAAAGTTGAAACACATCTTTTGGTGCAGCCGTTCTGTTACTGATTAGAAATAGAATAAAAGGTAAGTTTAAATCCAAAGATGACTGCTTGAGGCAGATATAGCCTTTTGGCTATAGGTTCATCAAACCCATACTTCTAGAGCCGAGGGTCTATGAGAAACAATCTCTCTACCCACAAAGATAGAGATAGGAGTAAGGTCTACGTACACCACATCCTCCCCAGACCCCACCAATGAAACTATATTGGGTAATGTTGTTGTTGTAGTACAGATAATGTAAAACCTACCCTACATCTCAGATTCTGCCTAACAGCCTACTTCTTTTTGCGGTTTACCATCACGTGAGCACAAGATAAACCCCACTCCACCGCAATAGTCCATAAACTGTTAAAGAATGACAAAAGTCCCACATTGGTGGTTAATGAGATGGGTAGACTCGTTATAAGGCTTGGACAATCCTCCTCATGGTATCAGAGCAGAGCCCGTCTCATCCAATGTTGGGATCCCCAAAATCAAAATTGTCCCGTCAAAGAATGACAAAAGTCCCACATGCCGCACTAGACAAGCCCCGTGCGACTAGCTTTAGCTGACTTCAAAACAAACTAATTTTCTATCCCTCAACCCCCACAATTTTTTTTTTCTCACAACATCCTAAACTTCAACAACTTCCCCAATTCTTCTAGCAAAAAAATCTGTTCACTTAGCTTTAGCTTGAATAATCTTCCACAAAATAAAGATCATCCCTTTAATTTTTGCCAAAAAGAGTTGCAATGATTCTATATAGAATTCAAAACTATTTCCAAATTTTGTACAAAAAAACAAGAAACAGTTTGCAGAAATCAGCAAGATCAAATTTTTACGACTAAAAAAGTATTAGTAATAATTACATAGAAAAAAAAAATGAAGTCTTACCGGCGATTCCAGCTGCATCTTTACAGATTGCAAGAACTTGAGACGAAGCCAAAGAAACCATCAAATTTTAGAATAGCTTATCTCTAAATTTATCTCATATAAATGATAAGATAGCTAGATACTTAATTTCTCGAGAATGTTAAAATAACTTTATTTCTAATCATATCAATGATCTAAGTATAAAATATACATTTTAACGTCAAATTATTATTTACTATAAAAATTTATTTATTTTCTTAAAATTATCTTTTAAAAAAAATTATAATTTATATAAATTAAAACATATAATATATTTTTTAAAATAAAATCCGATTACCTAATAAAGATGGAAAAAACAAGTTATTACAATGACAGTTTATAGATTATGTTTTTTTGGCCTTCTAAAAATGTACATTTTTCCTGACTTATATTTTAAGCATTAATATATGTCATTTATAGGTCCAATAGTCATTTACAAAGCCAAAGGGACCAGATCGTGACATGTTTCTTAATTAGTTGATGTTCTCAGTTAACTTGATAATTAATTTTGTAAACACTCGATAATATGGCTCATATTAAAAAAAAAAATTAAGCAAGAAAAAAAGAAATATGAATGACAGTGAAAATTCCAATCTTAGAATTAAAAAAAGTCAAAATATAGCTTTTATGTAAATCATTGAAACAACGGATTATCAATACTAGACAGAAATAAACAACAATTTCATAATTATAAGGCGAAGGTTCACAATACTTCAGTTACACACCCAAACATAGCTAATAACACAAATTTTAAGAGCGATTTAGATTTTATCTTACGTACTATAAAAACCATCGAAATGTCACATTTAATGGTAAGGACTCAAGTCTGTTGAGAGGTGATTTTGCTTGTCTTTTGTTTGGGCTTGTTTTTTGGGCCTATATATTAATTGTGTCCTCTTTCTTTCTTTTGGACCAGGGTTTCTGTTTCTTTTTTGGAAAAATATGTAACAAAGCAAATTTATAGTATTATTTAATTACTCATCATAACTATAATTTACTATAATTATTAATGTGACTAACATTATATATTAATTATGTGGGCTGACTTCGAGTTTGTATAATTAATTATGTTTGTATATGTATAATTCGCCAGAATATACAAATACATATGTATAATATACAATTTTTTAACCTATATACATATACAATTCACACCTCTCTTACTCTCTATCCTCTCTCGCTCGCCTCTCCTATCTCTCCCAATCTTGCTCGCCTCTCTCCTCTCTCTCCCAGTCTTGCTCGCATCTCTTCTCCCTCTCTCACTCTCGCTTGTCGTATATACAAATACATATGTATAATATACAATTATCTAATCGATATACATATACAATTCACCTTTCTCCCACTCTTTTCCCCTTCTCTCCTCTCTCTCCCAGTCTCACTCGCCTCTCTCCTCCATATAACATCTAGCTACGAATTGTAATTTATCAAACTATAGGTATGAAGAGTAATTAGGCTATTTTTGAGTGACTATATGTAAAAGTTTCTTTTTTAAAAAAAAAAATATGACGATGATCATTTCATTCATTTTTAAAAGTACAAAAATAGTATCAAAAAATAAAATTTGTATATATCCAAAACTTCAAACTTAATCACTTGAATCGAAAGTTTAACTTATCAATTAAATTTGTCTTGTGATG